ACGTGCGGCGCACGCGGCCGCAGCGCCACCAGAACGCGCGCGGCTTCAGGAACGACAAGTACGACAGCAGCGCCCGGCGGAAGGTAAGCGGCGGGGCGGGCCGCACCGCCCCGCGGGCAAACGCGTGGGGTGAAACTTGAATGGCTGACAAATTGTTAAGAGGAAGACTAAAATAAAGCCCTTACGTTTGTACAGTGAGTGAAGTCGTTAAACAGTCCACGTGGGGTCATCCGTGTGGCTTCTTGCAAGGTGTTAGGTCTTCTCGGAGTTTGTGACTATGTGTGGTCATACTTCAGAGATCTTAACCTTTTGAGAGTTTAGTTTGAACGGCTCCCCCTTACTATCTGCGTAAATATAAAACTTCACTTCGCATACTTTGGAGACGGCTTTAAGAAGACTCATGTTTGCTTCAGTTCTTGAGAAAAATTCTTGAGGGGCTTTTCTGAAAGTTGCACAGAAGGGTGTCTTAAGCTATTCTGTCTGTGCTTTTGCTATGCATATTATCACGGCTCCATATCTTCACACTTGTTTCAGAAAATCATTTTGTCTTCTTTTGTTTCTAAGCCTGTAAAAGGAATTGGTTTACAATATATTATTGGAACATGCTGTATGTTTGTAGTCGTGGTAACACATTAGCACCATGGGAGGAGATGAAGACCAAGCAATGTGCCTAAGCATTCACACCGCCGAAGTGGGGTGTTTAGTCTTGCTTAGTAAGCTGAAAACGTAAGGCAGAACGGAAGATGAACACTCTACGAGAAATCTCTCATATCTGGTGTTATTGCTGTCCTGTCAGTATCCCTTTAACTGAACGTGACTGGACTGTCAAAAAGAACTGGGAGAAGGGGAAATAAGTAATGAGTTAAAGTCTTGGAACCAAAGACGCAGGTTTGGTTTTTCTTGTGGCTTTGTTTTGGGGCTTTTGTTTAGATGTTGTAGGACTGGTTCTGCAAGTTGAACAGCCTGCTTTCTTAGGATTCTTAAGCAGTGACAGTGTTATTTATTGTGTGATTCACTGTATGATCTCACGGTATTTTCCTTCCTGGCTACAAATACACACACACACACACACACGCACACAAAAAAAATGTCCTAGAGAGTTGGTCTACCAGAAAAGGCTTCAAGGAGAAACTGAATTCTGACATCAGTTTTGTAGCTGCTGTAATCACTTTGATGCCCACATGGCTGCTTTTCTTCCCTTTCAAAAGGTTTTATGTCCTATAGAACTGGCTACACAATACCATGCATTCAAATAAATACATGTTTTTTAATGTAGCCAAGGTTTGCCGTGGGCATCAACTTGACTCTTTTTCCTTTCTGTTTCAAGCAAATGATGTGTTTTCTCCCTGTGCCTGCCAGTTCATGGGGAGGGCTGAGCACAAGGAAGAACCATCCTGAAGAAGGTGCTTCCTGTTCTGGGATTAGGTTGCATGTGGTAAGGGAAGAGGATGAGTTTTTCTTTTGGCATACTGTCATGTACAAATTCAAGTCTTACGAGATACACAAGGGTCTTTATAATGATGATTAGTCGTGTTTCTGCTATTCATAAAATTTTTAAGAAGACTAGCAAAGATTAAGTGGTGATTAATATCATAGTTTAAATATGTACTGTGCTAAATGATGCCAGTTTTGCATCTCTCTCTTGTGTAGTCCTGAATGATCAGATGTGCCACAAATGTTTAAGGTGTGGTGAGGGAAGGGAAGAAATAGCAGAAGTTCTATCACAAGGACTAATACAGGAGTGGGGCATTTTTCCTTTCTACCTCTCACTAGCCCAGTAGGTGAGAGGAATACTCAGAACTACTGAAAGAGAGTGGATCTCCTCTAAGTCACTGTTAAATGTAGGTTTTTTTAGGTATTTGGCCTGTCTTTGTCTACTGTTACGCACTGTCCAATGCAATACTATCTTGAAAGGCTGCAAAATGCTTATTAGCTTAATGTTTAGATCCTTCTGTGTTTGCACAGTGCGTTAGCAATGTTGTTAACTACAGTAGCTTCAGGTTGTATTGTGGGTGGAGTTGAGGTAGTTAGTTATGGTATTATTGCTGTCTCTCAGTGAAATAATATCTGCAGAGGAAATTGATCTAATTGTAGTATTTTGACTTTACTCTGCTGACAGTCATTGTGCATTTGTTTTGTGGGTTTTTTTGGAAGGTTTTGCGCTCCTTGTCTGACATTGAACTTGGCATCCATTTTCTAATCTTAGAGGCCATAGATTTGATTACTTGCAGAACATGCTGAAAGATCCATCTGTGTTTCCTCTAATGATCAGGCTTTACTACATCATAACTCTGGGATAGGCTTGCAACAAAGTACTTTGCCTCTCCACTGTATTTGGGTAACTGCCTAACAGTGCTGGAAAAGCTTGCATCCTAGGATAAATTGAAGAAGAAAGAGCCAGGACAAGGAAGACACTGTGTTGTTAGTTATTGAATCCTAGAATTGGTTTATGGGTGTTTGCTTTACATAGTATATTCCAGAACAGTTCTTTGCAGCACTGAGCTGAGGAACATACATTATGTTATATGAATATATATTTTATGTAAAGTATATTACATAAGTCATTATGGAAGCTGGAGTGGTTCTAGAAATGAAAGCAAATATTCATTGAGAACATTTAGAACTCCATTGTAGTAGGATGGTAAACCACAAAGTTATGCATAGTTACACCCAAGTGACTGATTTGTTTCTCCATTTATTTCCTCTCATAAGTGCAGATCATAACTCACATTTCCCTAAATTTCAGGGGTTAGTAACTCTGAACCCCAGCTTTACCATAGCGTTGATGTCAACTGCTTTTTCAGCTGGGTGTGTGGATGAGTAACTTGTTTTGGTGGAGATGCTGGTTGAGGCTGTGGGAAGGCATTTGGAACAGAACAGGTGAATTCAGAGCTTAAATGCTGAGCCAGTGAGGATGCCTTGAAGCACAGAAGGAAGATAGAGATAAACCAGTGGCCAACTGGAATGGTTAGATAAGAGTATTGGAGTTTTTTTAGTTTATGTTCTTGATGCAACATAGAGTAGCTTGGCAGGCTAAAATCTACTCTCTAGCCTACTATTCTGGGTTAAGAAGTGCATTAAGGCTTGGGTTGTAGCTGTTCATGTAGGGAGAATAGTTGCAAAAATAATATCTATTCTGGTCTCTAACCTAACTCGGGAGGCAGGGCAGGGAGAGAGAGAGCATGTGGGTGGGTACAGGGGTTGTGTCTGGCATGTGTGCATGTGTGTTTTTGTGCAATAGCATGTTTTCCATTCTTTCTGGGGAAGATGGTGAGAGTTGATTTTCAGTCCTTCCAATACTGTTTTTGAATGCTACCTATATAGCCATCCATATATTGGTTACAATCTGAAATATGCTTTATGAGAGATTATCTGTAGAAAAAGGAATTTCAAACAATGCTGATACAATATGTGAGCAAGTGAAGCTCTATGGGGGACTTGATTTCAGCCTGTGAACTGTGTATTAGAACTCACAGTCTGGCGTCTAGCAGCTCAGTTTCACATTCGTGAGTCTGCGTTGATCTACCTTAACTGCTTTGTAGTCATGCGCTGGAGGTCCTGTGGAATTTTGTTTTTCTGAGAACTGCAGTTGTTCAGAACTGCTGCATTCATCCTTGTTGATTGTAGCAGTGTCACCTGTGCTCCTGACAAGAAAGTTTATGGGTGGCATTAACATTACATTTGTTTACAGCAGAATAGACCAGTAATCTGCTCAGTAGTAGGAGTCTGCTTTCAGTAGAGAAAATCAAAATACCCATAGGTTCACGCATAATTAGAAACTTACAGATGGTGAATCTTCTTTGAAACCTGATCATTACATCTTGCTTGTGGGTGCTTTAATTCTAGTTTAGGATGGGGATTATTTTGTGTGCTAAGTTAGTAGGTGTAGGTGCATGTGTTTACATATATTCTGAACTGCTTTTGGTGGGTTAAGTGATTTAATACTGGGTTATGTGACCAGACAATATTGATTCGTTAATGCTCACCTGACAGTGCATATATAGTATTCACATGGAATATTTTGTGACTGTATGCTTTAAGGCTATTTGTGTATGTCTGTACTGCATAACTGTAATTTCTTTGTAGAATATATAGACATACTTAAGCACTATACAAGTTGCACTTGTCCTTGGAGCAAAGTATGGCAAAAGAAAAGAGTGACGTATGACGGAAACAAGGAAATGAGCATAAAAAACCCCAGAGAAACTGCTGTGACAGAAACGTAATCTAACCTGTTGGAGTAGTTCTCACACTAAGAAATTTATTTCACACCGTAAACACTACCTCCTATTTGTATATGAGAGCTCACAACCTGTGTAAAAGGTGGGTAGAAAAGTTGGAAGAGAATAATGAAATTGACAAGCCTTTTTCAGGACTTTGTGTGGGTTGTTGGTATTTTGTACCCTTAAAAGAAAGCAAACTATTAAAATGGCAAAAGGAAGAAAATATGAATACATGAAAGTTTAAACAATGTACAAAATATATTAAAAAGTTAATAGGAGAAGTAAGCAGCAGAGGGGTTTCTTTTATTTAACTAGTGACTTCAACATGCTGATTGAGAACTGAGAAACCAGAAAAGTTTATCTTCTAATTTGTTAGCAGAAGTTACTCTAACATGTTTCTTAGTCATTTAAAAAATCTGAGAAAAAAACAGTTTATCCAAACCTATAATTAGAAACAGCTTGCTTTATTACTTCAAGTCTGCAATGCATTTGAAAGTGGTATGATACCTTTTTTTGGTCAAAGGAAATGTTCAGTTTAGTGTAAAAAAACCACAGTAAATTATCAACTTGTAGTAAAAGTAGCATTTAGATATCATCCTTTTTTTTTTTTCTGAGCAAAATAAACCTAAAAGGCAAACGCAAGTCAAGGTTAAACTCTGTAAATCTCCCTGATTGCTTGCTTTATATTAATCCATCATTCTCTATTGTCTTTCTAAATCAGCAGTCTGGTAGAAGAATTGTAGAGTCATAGTCTCTCTTGTATTCAGATGTGCTAAGCCAAGGATTAAGTACACCACCCCATGCTTGAAGTGTCAACATTGAGTAAAAAATGCAGGAATTGGCTGAACGGGAGGAACAGG